TCATTAAAATCCTATTAGGGCTCCAAAAGGAGCCACAATAGGTTGTGCTTTCTTTTTCAGATCTCTGTGTGTTTCGGAGCAGGAGATGAAAGTGGAAAGTAATCAGAACTCTAGTGGAAGTGAAATGTTTCCCTTTTAAGACAGTCTCTGAGCTGGTAATAGCTTTGGATCCAGAAGCAAGCTAGTAAGCCTCTCTGTAAAGCTTGGTACAGTAGAGAAACTATTGCAAACATGGTCTGTTGTACAAGAGGGGAAACGGAGGTACACCACCTCATGAATTTCATAAATGACCAGTGAGTGGGGTAATTCACTAACCTGACTACAGAACAAAATAAGGGGTAATTCTTCTGTTTTTCCTGCAATTAGCAAGGAAATTTCTAAAAGAAAGTGATATTATTATTATTATTATTATTATTAAGCAATAATCTGTCCCCACCAGGGGGGTGGAAATTTTTTCTTTTGTTTTTCAGACACTCTACAAGCAAGCTAGCACCAGCGGGAAAAATAACCCAGAATACCATCGATCTGTGTTTTGTGTTTGTCTGTGGTGTTTGTCTTGTTGCTAGCATTGTTGTGTTTTAATGAACAGAAAACCTCATGACATGGGTGGGGGATGGCTTCAAAAGGCTGACCTGGGAGGGGAGATGTGTATGGGAATGCAAAATGCTCAACTAGGAGGCCAGCACCTGTGTAATAGCTACCGTAGTACCTGGAAATGGAATGGCAACTAAGGTGGTCCCCACAAGCCCTATGGAAATAATGAGAAGGGGAGGAGCTCACTGGGAATCAATGGAGGGGTGTGTAAAATAGTGTAAATCAACAGATGATGTTTGGATGTGCCCTTCTCCTATGACTATGGAGGAGCAGAATCAATGGCCTACGCAAGGGGTGGACAATTGGGTGTACTGTGTATAAGGTGTTTTGCTGGGAATGTACATATTGCTGGGGGTACAATTACACCAGCCCATAACCAAACTACACCCATCCACACGCTGCTGTCTGGACTTTGGTGCACAAATGGATCTGTGAATCTTACTGCTGTGAATAAACAAACCAGGGCATACTGCCTGATTCCATACCAAGTGGTCAAGCTGGTTTGGACAATATCCCATTTCTCTGGGAACATTCAGTGGACTTATGATATGGACAAAAGCATGCAAAACTTGCAGGAACAGCTTGTTGCAACTGCCAGCAACTGGACACATAAGATCGTGACCCTGTCAAAGGAGGAGAGGCAGTGTTTTGGGGGGGTCTCGGATGTTGGACCATACTGCAGTGGTCAGAACTCGGTGTTGCTGTGGATTTTGTATTGTTAACTGTACTTGTACTGTACTGCATATGGAGATAACCTATAAGTAATGTAATAAGCCCTCCAAACCCTGCAGTGTACTAGACAACCCGGACCCAACCTTCTCGGGCCCACTAAAATGGGAAGTCTGGAACACTAATTGGAATAGGTGTGGTATGCCCGTACGAGAGAAGGTGCAGGGCACTATACAACACAAGGGGCAGTGGGACAAATGGAATATCCACACCTTCCACCTTGATGCCTGGCCCTATCAGGAAATGTGTCGCCATATGTCCTATGCTTTTCCAGGGATACCTGGGCAGGAGGATCCCAAAAGAAAAAAAAGGGGTGGAGTGTTAGGATATAGATATTCAGGCCTGTCTTTAAAGGCCTATACTCTAAGAATTTAGGTGTATTCTTATCACTTGGCTAGTTAGAGGTATAAAAGAAAGAATCAAAATCACTGTCTGCCAGTGTAAGGTCCTTCTCTTACTGTGACAGTCTGAGGCCCTGTTCTTAGGCTAAGGCCTTTGGCTAAGCAACAGAGGCAGCCATAAGCTGGGAAGCGAACGGTCACCTCCTCACATTCCAAACTAGTCACATTGAAATAAGGTGCTATTGGACTGTGAGGAATACAGTCCTGTCCTGATAGTGCCTATCACCTCCAGAGAAAGGGAAGTGCCTAGAAAATGTAAAAGAAAACTTAGTTTGATAGCATACTGTCTGGCAAGAACTCACTTATCAATAGCTGGGATGTGAAATCCTCACTTCTGTATTGTTTTGTCACTATAGTTCCCACTTTACTATTTTTTGTCTGTATAATCTCTGTCTGGTTCTGTGATTGTTTCTGTCTGCTGTATAATTAATTTTGCTGGGTGTAAACTAATTCAGGTGGTGGGATATAACTGGTTACATAATCATGTTACAATATGTTAGGACTGGTTAGCTAAATTTCAGGAAAATGATTGGTTAAGGTATAGCTAAGCAGAACTCAAGTTTTACTATATAGTCTGCAGTCAATCTGAAAGTGGGTGGGTGAGAAATGGGAACAGGGAATGGGGGTGGGAAAATTGGAATCATGTTTGGCTAAGGGCAGGAATGGGAACAGGGACACAGGTGTAAGGCTCTGTGGTGTCAGAGCTGGGAAGGGGGACACTAAGGAAGGAAACTGGAATCATACTAGCTGGAAGTTCACCCCAATAAACATCAAATTGTTTGCACCTTTGGACTTCGGGTATTGTTGCTCTCTGTTCATGCGAGAAGGACCAGGGAAGTAAGTGGGTGAAGGAATAAACCCTCTAACAAGGAGCAGTGACGGGGCTGGAGCAGCTGCTGGAGTCAGCCCCAGGGCTGCCGGAGCAGCAACCAGCCCCCAGCTGCCATAGCAGTGGCCCCCAACAGCCCTCCTGGCAGCGCTCCTACTGTTAGTCTGCTCTGCTCAGGGTATTTTAGTAAAAGTTAGGGCTTAGGTTGTGGGCTTCTGTGAATTTTTCTTTATTGCCTGCGATCTTGTCCTGGATTTTTACTAAAAATACCTGTGACAGAATCTTAAGCTTAAATCATACTGCATGGTACCACACCATAAGGCAATGTGTCCTCGACTTTGAGAGGAATCATGCTATGCAACTGGAAGCACAGCCCCAGGCACAGAAACAATGTGCAGCTCAATCAATACAACCAGGCAAATAGCTCTGTGACCTGCGCGATAAATGTTCTTCACAAATTGGTCCATGGAGTCACACAAAGACCCATTAGTAAAAACTACGATTGTCACAGTCATCCTGAAAATCCAGGTGACTAGCATCATCACCACCCATTTGCTGATGTGTAAAACAATGGAGTCTACATTGGTATAAATTAAATGCTTTGGGGACAGAAGAAGGTGTATCCATGTGTATGGTCAAGAAAGAGAGGAGGCTTTTCTTCTTGCTAAACACTTCTCTTCGGTGTACGAGTTTCACCCATCTACATTTCCTTAGACTCAGTGGGTCATACTAAGTGGGAATGTAAATTATACATTATTACATGTAAGTCTAAGGGAGCCTACGGAGAATTTAAGTTGGAGCAATATACATGTTGGAGGGTTGGGAAGATGGTGGAATTACCCCAACTTCAGCTCCCTCTAGAGTCACCTCTGAATCTGGCTCCAATTCTCAGTTTCATTAATACTGAATCTTTAAAATGTAGATTCCAAAGCTATGAGAATTTATTAAGGGAAACAAGCACAGCTTTATTTCTGCCTTATCTTCTGCATTTCATTATCATCGTCAATCACCAATCCTCCAGACTGGAGGCACACAAATACTCTAAATACCTAAGTATGGGGGTCTTGTTTTTTCCCATTAAGATAATGGCAAAAACCTTATTCTTGTAAACTGAAGCAGGATTGGGCCCTTAACGATTTAGAATGGAATAAAATATCGTCCAGCCTCAGACCTAAGAACTTTAGTCCAGTATCTTCAGGCCCTCTGCTGGTAAAACACTACATTATCATAATGCTAGTGAAAAAGCAACGCTTGGATATACTCAAACCAATTAAAATGCAATAGTGCCAGCTCTCTAAAGACAGATATGCAAATTCTTTAAATGTGGATGGAGTTTCATGTAATGTAATTCATTTATGCTGAGATTATTTAAGGAGCATCACTGGGGTACGCAGCTCTCGATGTACATTAAAAAAGTATCAAATAATAATCAAATCTCAAAATTACATTAAAAAAAACTCATTGTAAATAGCTATTCTTGCCATCCAATCTATGAAAATCAAAGAGAACAATTCTCAGAGCGCTAGTCATTGCCTGCCAAATGTCAAACACTCTATTCAGCGAGCAGTGTTGGCCAGGTTTATGTAGTTTATTGTTTAAAAAAGAAAAAGAACCAGATTTAGAATCAGAACTTCCCTGCCTTGTGCCCAGAGAACTCAAACCCTGCGATTTTTTACAAAATGCTCTGAATAGTATATAAATAGTTTCTTAATTGTGCGTGCTGGGGTCCTCCAAGGACCATTTCAGACTTCCACATTCAGCTTTGTATTCTATACATGGATAGCATTGGGTAGAGGCCAGGTAATTTTTTGTCTCGGTTCTCTGGTATCTTGAGTATGGAGTCTTAGCTGTGTAATGTACTGCTGAGGTAGGGATCAATTTTCGCTTACTCTATTTAAATGTTGAAAAGCAATGCAAAAGAAGTAACTGTTTTTGCACAATAGCTATTTGTCTATGTTTATTTAGAGTATCAGAATACAATCAAAATGATTCTACTTTGGCTCTGAAAACAAAACTCATTACATACAAAGGGCTCACAGATCTGATACGTCGATGGAATAACAGTGTTTCACTATCGTTTTAATTGAATTTGAAGGATCCAATTCAAAGTCAATGCAGATTTCTGAAACATACAAATGGCATCCATTCACTAACTCCCCCTCCTCTGAACTAGTTTGTCCTCAATAGCCACCTTTCTGCTGAACAATCCAGTCCTGTGCAGAAATGCATACAACAGTTTTATACACACAAGAGATCCATAAAATTTCTGATAACTAAAACATTTAAATAAGCATGAACTAGAATATGCTTTCCATTGACTTAAATAAATTAATGATAAAGTAAACATCCAATGTAACATATTTCAAACAGGAGTACATTTTATAGGATTAAAAACTGCATAACTCTTCCACACACAGATTAAGGAATCCAAACTCTTTATTACATACCATTGTTCTTTGCAAAAAGCTGGATGTCTTCCAGAGTGTTAAGTTGCTCTTGAGGACAGCTAGATACACACAAGGCGATTGAATTGATTTTAAGGTTTTTAATTTCCAGACCGCACGAATTCAAAAAGAACACATGTCTAGGAAGGAGGGAAAAGATTCTCTTAAGGCAAGCTTTCTATTTTTCATATCATTTTGAACCTGCTCACTATCTTTAAAAACAGTACAAAACATGACAATCGGTAATGTGTTCTTCCACACAAAATTGGAACACCTGGATTTTGAAGCTAAAAGTTAAAAACTGATTCTACCACATGCTACATTTTACACTATATTTTTACCTCATCTTAAATCAGATTATAGGCCCCAAACATGCAGTCAACCCACATGGGCAGGCCATTACGTTCGGTGGAGTTTCCTGGGGTACGTGAATCCAAAGGCGGGATCAGGACTATAATTTTTGCAATTGCTACTGTATAGTATTCTTGCACTCTTATTTGTATCTCTCAGCCCTGGTCTACACTGGGGGGGGGGGGTAATCGATCTAAGTTACGCAACTTCAGCTACATGAATAACGTAGCTGAAGTCAACATACGTAGATCGACTTACCGTGGTGTCTTCACCGCGATGAGTCGACTGCTGCTGCTCCCCCGTCGACTCTGCCTGCGCCTCTCACAGCGCTGGAGTACAGGAGTCGACGGAAGAGAGCTCGGGGGTCGATTTATCGCGTCTAGACTAGATGCGATAAATCGATCTCCGCTGGATGGATCGCTGCCCGCCGATCCAGTGGGTAGTGAAGACATACCCTTAGTAAAGTGCCTATATGCACCAAAGTTTTATTTACTATAGATCATTTATCCCTTCAACAATGATCAAATCTCAAGTGTTTGATTCATTTAAAAATCTGATATACTTACTTTTTATTTGTCATATCCTGTCCAGAAAGAGTTGCACCTTCAATATGAGTGTTCTTCCTACCACATATATTCCCATAGCTGTCATACCCATATACAAGTCTTTCTGCAGATCCAGCTGTTACAGCATAGCCAGTTATAAACATCTATTAAAAATATGTTATATTATTTTTTTCTTTTGAATTCATGATACACAGAATACTATGCTTTTTTTCCTCCCCCATTCAATGAATATTCCTTGTTTAACCTACATAATTTTTGTCTAGTGCTTGAAAAACCAGGCATCAAATTTTCAAACATTGTTTACACTGTAATGAATATTTCAGAGTAAAATTCACCCCTGCCTAGAAGGCCAGAGCAAGGCCTTTGGACCACTTAGGCCCCACAGTATGTTGTCTTTAGGACCCTTCCAAATTTATTATAGAACTTGGAAGGTGTGTAGTTAATGAAGCAGGAAATTACAGGAAAAGAAAAAATGGTCTTGTGCTTAAAGAAGCTGAACATCCTGGAAAACTGCATTCTAACCATGGCTACATCAGAGTTCCTGTATAATGCTGCACAAGTCACTTCCACCAAACTTTTCACAGGTGTTCAGTAATTGTGTATTCCTCATTTTCTGGGTGCCCACTGTGAGACACCTGTGGCCAGATTTGCAGAAGCTCTGAGCACTCACAGCAGCAACTGAGGTCAATTAGAGCTGTGCCTGAATATATAAAGTGATGTAAAAATGAAAGTACTGTACTCCTGGGGACACACATTGAATGAGAAGGATAAAAGAGAAATATTGATTAACTAGCGATTCACTGAAGGAGGCTGGGCTCCAACACAAAAAAAAATAGTATGTGATCATGTAACTAAAGACTGTAGCATAATACATATGCATAAAAACACCAAATTAAGGTTGCACAGGCAACATTACTTATGGCATTTCCTAACTTTTGCATGCTTGACTTTCAACTTAAATATTCTTTTAAGGAGTTTGGGGTTTTTTTTAAAAAAAATGTAATTAGTCTGCACAGAACTGAGCCTCATCCTGCAAGGAATTAAGTGCGTTCATTACTTTAATCATATGAGTAATCAGATTTGTACTTAGGTGTTCAGAGTCTAGTGATTTATATCAGCAGTTCTCAACTGGGGGGTCCACAGCCCAGTTTCAGGGGGATCCGCAAGCTCCGAGCCCACGGGTGGAGTTGGGGCAGCATAGGGAGGCGTTGCCCCACCCAAACTGCAGTGCCAGAGCGAGGCAGTCCCATAGGCAGCTCCATACTCCCCCCACACTACTTCTCCCCCCATCTGAGGTTCTGCCCCCTGGCCAGATCAGAGGCCGGAAGCCAGAGGCGGGCAGTGTGGGGCGGTTGCTGCTCTGGCTGGTCCCATGCAGTGGACAACTGTGGCACTCTCCCATCTCCTCTTTCTGCTGCTGCTGGTGCCTGGGGCTGCAGTTGCTCCTCAGCCCCCTTCAGCTGCTTGCATTGCCAGTAAGAGCTGCCCGGGTGGATGAACCCAGCTCTGGGGCCAGCAGAGCCCTCAGGGAGCAGCGACCACAGGAGAGGGGCCCTCCTGGCACACAGCCCCTAGTTACCCTCTCCCTGCATCCTGAGCTACACCTCTGCCTGCACACAGCTCCTAGCTACCCCCTCCCTGCACCCTGAGCTACCCCCCTGCCTGCACACAGCCCCTAGTTACCCCACCCTGCACCCTGAGCTACACCCCTGCCTGCACACAGCCCCTAGTTACACCCTCCCTGCACCCTGAGCTACACCCCTGCCTGCACACAGCTCCTAGTTATACCCTCCCTGCATCCTGAGCTACACCCCTGCCTGCACACAGCCCCTAGCTACCCCACCCTGCACCCCTGGGCTACCCCTCTGCCTGCACACAGCCCCTAGTTACACCCTCCCTGTATCCTGAGCTACACCCCTGCCTGCACACAGAGCCCCTAGTTACACCCTCCCTGCACCCTGAGCTACACCCCTGCCTGCACACAGCCCCTAGTTATACCCTCCCTGCATCCTGAGCTACACCCCTGCCTGCACACAGCCCCTAGCTACTCCACCCTGCACCCTGAGCTACCCCCTGCCCGAACACAGCCCCTAGCTACCCCACCCTGCACCCTGAGCTACCCCTCTGCCTGCACACAGCCCCTAGCTACCTCACCCTGCACTCTGACCTACCCCCTGCCCGCACACAGCCTCTAGCTATCCCCCCTGCACCGAGCCACAACCCTGCCCACACAAAGCCCCTAGCTACCCCTCTCCCTGAGCTACAGCTGCACACACTCCTAGATGCCCCCTGCCTGCATCCTGAGCAGTTATCATATGCTCTGAGCTGAGCCCCACCCCCCCTTTGAATTATACATTTTTGGTTGCACTTTCCCCCCAACCCAGACAGGCTGGGTGGCCTGCTAAGGTGAGTCAGGGGGTGGAGGTGGCGCTTCCTCCCCAGGGCCCACCGTACAGACTTGGCTCAAGCCCTGCAGGGCCATGCCTCCCCCAACCAGAAGTCAAACTATACCTATACCCAAGCCCCTCCCCTTGGAGTTTTTATAGCATGGGGGGGGTCAGAAAGAAAATGGTTAAGAACCTCTGATCTATATCACTTGACTATTGTCATGCCTGAATTTTTATATATTAATTTCTCTTAATATGGCATTGTAGTGACTCCATAGTTAAGGTTGCTGTGTATATGTGCATCTCAACTCTGTCACAATAAATATTTTTAGATCCAGTTTATTTATACAGTAAATATAATTCCAGCAATCAGACAGCTACCTCAAAAGTAGCAAAAAGAGATGCAGTAGCCTTTTGTGACCCTACTTCTAAATATGAAAAATTCTGACAGATGGAAGTTATAAGTCCAACAGAACTTTATTTGCTAAGCTAGCCCATACTGCTTCCACATAGATTTCAAACTAAGACAAAAGCTCAGCACACTGAATCTGATCTACAACTACTACTAATAAATGGCTGGCTGCAAACATTAAATGATTACAAAAGGGTATGCCAACGTGTATGCGTCAATAACGTGCACTTCCAGATCATGAAACCACCTGAAACACAGCCAGTGTGAATAAACACTGGATGTCACCACAAATTTGTTTCAAACTAAAGGAAATCATAATTCAAATGTGAATAATAAAATAATATCACAGAGAGTAAGCAATAAGAATAATGAACGAACAAAATTGCTGGATACCACCATGGTTTGACATGTCTTATATCTACATGTGCATTAAACGCAGGGTGGCATACAAAACTCATCCTGCTTCTCAAGTCAGTTTAGTTTATAAAGTGTGCCAGAGACTTATGCAGAGTTCTTTTGCATTAATTGTAATTTTTTTAAAAAGATGTCAGAAAATTGAATAGGCTATGATTACTAATTTGCATTGTGGTAATGCCTAATGGCCCCACTGTCCTAGACATTGTACATAAACATAACAAAAAGACAGACTCTGCCCCAAACAGCTTGTTCTAAGTACAAGATGATGATCTTGCCACTGGATCCTTGCAAGCACCTGGTCGAAGGGTCTGTGTGGAGCTAAACTGACTTCATTGTGGCTTTGTGCAAGCACAAAGTTCTCCTATCTGACCACAAAATCGAGGCCCTATAATTTCTGCAGTGAGGTCACCTGAATTTTGATTCAGAATCACTTTAAGCTTACAGTAGTTCTACGTAAGATTTCTCTTTCAACAGATAGCATGCTTACCAAACCAGCCCAAAAAAGAAAGAATAAAATCAACCAGAGTACATCTGTGCATTTTCTATAAATTAGAGGTCTCCATTCTCTTTGTCCAGAAATCCCATCTACAGAAACCTAAAATTAAAAATAAATTTTAAGTGTAATTAAAGTTATAGTACTCAGTTTCAAACATCTGAAAAGCAGTGAAAGAGTAACTTAGTGTGCACAAAATGTCAAACATTTGGTAATGTGTGTATTCTTAAGGATAGCAAATTTATTTTACGTGTAGTGCACAATATTGCAATTTTAAATCACCTAACTGTCCTCCAAATAATGGAAACTACTTTAGAGTGCAGGGAAAATGGGACACATCCAGACAAATGATAGCTATTCACACGGACACCAGCATCCGGAGACTACTACCTACTCCTGCAGAAGACCTGGCCCACGAGTACCCTGAGAGGTGCTTCTATGTGACTATACTGGGCGAAGAAGAATTGTCGAACAACTTTAAGCCAGCACATTCTCTCCTCCTTTTTTCTAAATACTTTTTCCCCGATGTAGTGATCGAGTTTGCTGCTTCTTAGCATTTGGACTCACTGAAGTGTCATATCGATCAGTTTAGTATCCGACAACAGCTCTATCGGGGGGCTGTATTCTGTGCCAGCCAGGGGATGGACTCGATTTAGCGCCAACTTTGATCTCAATCACGCCAGCGTCAATGGAGTTACTCTGGACTGGCATGGCTGTAGCAGACATCAGAATCTGGCTCCTAACAGGTCTTTCCCATCTCGGACTACTAGCGAGGGGTTGTGAGAGTCCTAGAGGGGGAGGAAGCCACCCAAAGACCCCGAAGCTCCAGGTAAATGGGATCTCCGTTAGCAAGAGCTAAACCCGCACAGAAAGAAAAAGGGGGGAGGGAAATGCCGTCCCTGGTTGGGGAGCGAGGGCCGCTGCCGAGCCAGCGGCGACGAGACAGGGAGTGCGTTGAGCAGGGGATTCCCGTACTCGCCACCTCAGGGGACGTGAGGTGGGTGCCCCGGGCTCGCAGCCTCCTCCCTGGACCCTGCCACAGACGCTCTTGCAGCAGGAGGGGGAGACTTTACCCCCCGGGCGGGAAAGGCAGCAGCTCCACACTGCGGGCGGGCCACCAGCCTGTCGCTCCCCCGCGGGGCTCGCAGCTGGTCAGTGCAGCCCAGGCCCTTGGTGCGTCCCACGGAGGAGCTGGGGAAGTCGGGGGGGCTGCAGCTGCTGCCGGCCGCGGGCGCCCTCCCCGCCCGGACAGCGGGGTCTTACCTGGTACTCGCCCCAGCAGCACGCCATGCCGAGCAGGGAGGGGGCGCCGCGCGCGGGGTCCCGCCTGGAGCGGTGCAGGAAGTGGAGGGCCGCGCTCAGAGCCGCCCGCCTGCCAGGCGTCCAGCGGCGGCGATGCGGTGCAGAGACACGGCCCCTCCTCCCTCCTTCCAGCCCAGCGCGGGGAGGACCCCTGCTCGGCTCGCCTCACCTCGCCTCCTGCAAGGGCCGCTGCTCGGCTCCCAGCCCCCGGGCAAGGGGCACCTCCGCCTGGCGCGCACTGCGAGCCTTTCCCCCGCACCCCTTCCCCCGGGGAGCCAAGGCGGGGAGCGTGTCCCCAGTTCCGGTAGCTGCACAGGTGCCAGCCCGAGCGTGGGCGGGAAAGGTGCCATCTGCGGGCAGAGCTTACTCCCCTGCTGGGGTACAAGCTTCACACAGTCGCTTCCCTGGCTAAGGGTTTGCATTGTACAGGCGCCGCCGGCGACACCAGAGTCTGGCTGAAATCAGAGCAAAGCCCCAGTACAGACGTGCGTGCTCCTCGCCCCCTTCGGGGCGTATCCGAGTTCAACCCTTTAAAATGAGATGTTAAATTGAGGAACTTAAACCTCTGCAAAAGACCTCTTAAGCCTCGTCTACATACAGTTTTTGCATCCATTTAGAAACCGATACAGTTAAATCAGTGCAACCCCCTAGTGTGGATCAAAACGTGCCTCCCAGTGCAAATACTTCTATATCAGATTAAGTGCATCTGCACTGGGGGTTGCACTAGTTTAACTATATCAGTTCACTTTAACTGTAACAGTTTCTAAAGTTACATACACTGTGTAGTTTGTATAGTAACATCAGGGTAAAAAACTGTGTTTAGACAAGCCTAGTTTAAACCAGGCTTCTATTAGTTTAGCTTGCATTAGTAAATTTACAGGCAAAGCTAAACCAAATAAGCCACTCTTGAACTGAACAAAGAATGTCCACACAGGACTTTGCGCAAATGGTTTCACGAAACAGTTCAAATGGTAGAAGTTCATATGCTGTCCATGACCTGTTCCTCCATTAAGCCCAACCTGGTCATGTCCCTCCCTGGGTAGGATGTCCTGCCATTTAGAGGATGGTCACCCTCTGGCTCAGACTGACATTGGCTATTTTTGTATTATTTTCTTTGGCATCCTAACATCTATTTGTCTTCTGCTGTGTTCCCACCATCATAATCTTTTTGATTGTAGCCAATCCCATACTGATTTCACATCCTACTCTCCTAACTTCTTCCCTTGTCTTAAAGTCATTCCACTTTATACCTGACATCTTTTGAAGAACTCTCATCTCTACTGCCTCCAGCCTTTTGATATCTGTTTCATTTAATTCAGCTACTTCCAGACCATGGAGTAATCTGTTAGAACATTGGTGTGATAAATTTGTACTTTGGTATCAAATGTTAATTTTTTTCTAGAGTTAAATTCCTTATCTTATGCAGATGACATCCTTCAATTAGCAGACATATTTGAATTAATGATGATATTTTTTGCTACTATGGAAAATTGGTGTCATTGACTTGGACTTGGAATAAATGCCAAGAAGATGAAGTTGTTGCATGTGGAAAATGGACAATAGATAAAGTATTAAAATGTAGTAGTGGTGAAGTCATAAAACAAGGAGAATCTTTTGTGTTCCTAGGAAGCTTGATTAGTGCTGACAGGTTCTATCAGGGACAAGGTTAAAAGGAGATTTACCTTAGCTACAAGTGCTGCACAGAAACTGACAAAATTATGCATTGATGAAAACATCTAAGAATAGGATTATGAAATGAACTTGTCTTCTGGTGAGAAGTCAGCCCAACGCTGTATTTTTCTCACATAAATGGAGTTTGTCCACTTGTTAAATGTTATTCTTTTATTTCATAATCTCCATTGGCATTACATGAGAAAAAAATGTCCTGTTATTAAAATGAAATTGTACCTTATGCCTGTAAAATTTGAATTAAATTTGATAACAGTATTGTTGGAGGGAAAGTAAACAAAGGAGGGTTTTTTCCACAGTTGGTGGTCATATCCAAATGTACAGAACTACTAGGATAAGATTCAAGATAAATAACTCAGGTAATGGAACTCATGTTGCCTAGCAACCTGTAACTAATCTTGCTGGGTCTACTAATGAATAAATCTTTTAAACAATAACATAATGTAGTACCCCAGTAAGACATTTAAAAGCCTGATCCTGAAAACACCTACACACATGAGGAGTTCCAGCAGCCTGGTTAAATTTCAATGTAAGTAATTATATTCTCTCTACCTACATTACACTGCTAAACTCTAGATTGCATTTTCTTACCCATAGAACTCAAACATCAGGGTCCTATGGGAACAGCAACCAGGAGTTGTTGAGCCAGTACAAAGGCACAGGTACAAAGGTCTTGCAAATGGGAAGCCATCAGATTTTGAGCCAGGGCCTGTAGCCTATTTCACATGGTGTAGGAGCAGATATCACTAGTAACAGAGAGGGAAGAGGTAAAGAGGTCCTCAGAGAATCCCCTTGCTTTTTTTTTCTGCGATGCGGAGTGAACCAGGCCATGGGTATCAATATAATTAATAGATGTTCACAAAAGAAACATAAAAATAATAATAGCTAAGAGGTGAAAATATCTAGCCCAAATGAGATGGCTCAGTCTCACTTTAGTTGTTGCATAGATATAATACCAAAGAACATGCAGCTCAATATCGAGCCTGAATAAGCATTTCTCATAAGAGATGGATGCAGTGGAGCTGCTATACACCTGCTATTGAATCATGTAAGTGGACCCAGGATAAGAAGATTGTTAAAGGAAAAATATGCCCATTTGAGAAGGAAAACTATGGGAAATTTCCTGAATCCTTTTGGAATAGCAAAGGGGTATTTCACTTTTCCAAAGCCTCAAAATGGTTTTGTTTGAATAAATCAAATCACTTTCTTGACTAGTGCAAAGACTGGGAATCCTTTTAAAAATTCATTTGACAAGGGAGGTTCTCAGTTCAATCTTACGGCACATGTCTTAACAGTATCCGAATCCAGTATCCAATTTGATATCCAAATGTGACATTGCAGCATGTGTCAGAAATAATCTCATTGCAGCATTCTGGATCAGTTTATGTTAAAAAGGTGCCAGTAAAGTTGCAGAAAGAGTTACTGTCCAGTCTGAATGTGATATTCTGTATTAAACCATGGGATAACTATTAGAAATTGAATGGCTGTTTACAGCAAGAAGCTTGTTCTTTTATTTCAGAACAAGTAACTGATTGGCAGCCTGGTGGCCATTGGAAGTGCAGTTCTGGAGAGCTAAACTTTGAGCTAACTTTGAATTCATTCACAGTTGTGCTTCCCAGAGTTTACAGATGTACACTGGCTAGTCTGGATAGGGTGTTTTGAAGTTACAATTAGTTTATTCATTAGTTTAAAACACAGAATTTGTAGAGATATTTGAAATACAAAATGTTTCCTATTTCTCTATGAATAACCCACTTACATACATTTGGTAATTATCTATGTATTGTCAAAATGCCAACTATCACATCAGTTTGATGTGTCAGGCTTGCATTTTGTAAACTAAATGGCATGGAAATTATTTAGGTTATTATATTAGGGCTTGATCCACAGGATGTGAGCCACAGCAGCAGAGTATTTAAGGCACCCAGGACTACAAGACAGGGAGTGATGCAACCTCTTGCTGGTCTGGGTTGCACCCAAAACATTGCAGGTGCATTGACACTTGGTCATGCAGTATTCTTTTTAAACTCTACAAGATTTGTCTACCTGCTTAACTTCAGGATGCTACTAAAGTATTCTGTGAAAAATCTGTTTGCTTTCCCATTGTTTCACTGAAGTAAGCTAGGTTCTATGACTCTACATCAGAAGCTATAGAAATGTAATGAGAGCAGACTCAGCATCCCTACCTTGCTGTGCTGATGTAGGTGTTCAAGGCCTTATCCACAAAGGGACTTATACGGGGCAGTACTCAGTGTTGCAACACCTAATTTTCAGGTGCCTAGAAAATTAATGAAACAACAGTGGGGCCCACAAAGCCTGAGTTAGGCACGTAGGCTCCCTACACATTGCATGCGGAGAGATAGGCGCCTAATAATGTGATCCACCAAAGCCAGCACGCTAGGTGAGGAGCCACCTAAGCTAGCCAATGGCAGTTGCAAATGAAAGGGGTATGTACTAAGTTCCGCCCCCTCATAGAAGTTAGGTGCCTAAATCCAGGCTACAGGGAGGCACCTATATCTGCTTGTGATCCAGAGCTGGGAACCCTTCTCTTGGATTCAGGTGGCTTAGGTGCCTAAGCTCTTTCTTGCAAGAATGAGTTAGGCACCTGCCTAACTATACACAAGGGGGATGGAGGAGAAAGTGATGGTGGCTATTACACTTTGGATAAATATTTAAATAGTCATTAGGCCAGAGAGAGAATTACTCTATACTTTATCCTGGTGGTTAAGGCACCTACCTGTGAGGTGGGAGACTCTGGTTCAACTCTTTTCTCCCCATCAGGCAGAAGGGGCAATTGAATCCAGGTCTTCCATATGGAAGGCAAGTGCTCTAATAACTACTGGGTTAAAAGTTATAAGGGGTTACCATCTCCTTCTTGATTCTGAATGGGCCCAATCCAGTAGGTATGTGCAGAGTACACCTATTGTATGGGCCCAACAGGACTATCTTCCCCTGGTTTGTAGATTATGCTGAGGCATAGGCATGAGATAGACACCTAGAGTGAGGCAGCAATGCCCATGCCCAGAGGGAGAAACTTAGGGAACTTTTAATTCCCCAAATCAGGGGGACCTGTGGCTGTTGGCTTTGTAAGTCACAAAGGTTAGTTGCTCTGTTAGCCACCAGGCCTGTTTTTATTTAACTCTTTGTGTGTGTCACAACATTTGATCTGATTCATGGTTTGTGAGACTGACTGATTAGTTTCCAATTAAATTAACAGAAGTTGTATTTTCCCAGGCTGTTTCTGAATGTTTTGGGAAGAGGAGGAGCCAAAGCTAAAACCCTGATTTGACTCCGGGCAAACATTCAGGTGGTTTGGAATGCAAACACAGGTCCATGTCTGAATTTTGAAATTGACCCCTATCTATGTGGTAGGTTAAACTAAATTCCTGGACACAGTCACCTGCAAAACATATGGTGTTTGACATATGGATTGCAACCTCATTGCCCTGGCCCTTTTCTAGGGAAAACCAACTTTGATCTAGTAACAGCTCATGAAAGCTTGACCATAGATATAGCTTTTGCTAATAGGTGCTACAATCTTGAATAAAGGGTGTTTTACTTTCTAACCATAACTCCTGCTCAATGGAAATAATTTTAATTAAAAATGTCTTACAAATGATGTGCTAAATAATGCAGTTATCAGTCAACAATTCTTATTTTCATCAATTTGTAGTTTTCCAAATATATATAGTCCATTTATTGTCTGCTGTTTTCATAATTTGT